TTCTCTTGGGTGAATACCTAGGAGTAGAATAGCTAGTTATGTTTACTACTATTTTCCAAAGTGGTTGTACCATTTTATATTATCACCAGTATTGTATGAGAGTTCCAGTTACTCCAGATCTTCACCAACACTACATATGCTCAGTCTTTTTCATTTTAGCCATTCTAAGAGGTGTGTGGTGGTATCTCATTGTAGTTTTCATTTGCATTTCCCTATTGACACATGATGCTGAACATCTTTTAGTGTGTTTATTTGCCATCCTCATGCCACCTTCTTTGTTGAAGTATGTGTTCAAATCTTTGGCACATTTTAAAATTTGTCTTTGTATTAAGTTGTAAGAGTTTTTTTATATAGTCAAGATATGAGTTCTTTGTTGGATATGTGTTTTGCAAATATTTACTCCAAATCTGTAACTTAACCTTTTAATTTTTATAACCATATCCTTTGAAGAGTAAAGTTTTTATTTTGATGAAATCAATTTTTGAATTTTTTCTTCGGTTGTTTTTAAGTATGTTTGAAAGCATATTTATCTATAATATTTTCGTATCATATTTAAGAACTCTCCCCTAAACCCAGGGTCACAAAGATTTCACCTATGTTTTCTTCTAGGAGTTTTATAGTTTTGGCTTTTTTGTTTAGGCTTATCCATTTTAAGTTAACTTTTGTATATGACTGAGGTAAGGATGAAGGATTGTGAGGAGGGGGGTCAAATGGCCATCCAATTGTTTTGTCCCATCACCATTTGATGAAAAAATTATGCTTCTTCATTGAATTACCTTGGTACCTCGTCAAAAATTAATTGAACTGATCAAATTTTTGCAGTTATGATTAGAAAGGACTGTCATACAGGTCTAGGTTTGTGTTTGTAAAGTCAGGAAGGACAACATATTGTGGAAATTTTCTCTGGGGGTCAATGTAAGGAATGTGCCTGAGAGGAAACATTTACCTCCTCCATTGTTAAAATGTGACTTTTTTTGTAGAGGCTGTTTTATTTTTTTTCAAATGAAAACTTTTTATGAAAGTTATTGAAACCCATGAAGCAATGAACAAATGGAGCTTACAGGGTAGAAAGCAAATCCCAGGAAATAGTATCATTTTTGGCAGGAATGTCAGATGATGTGAGAAGATAATTTTCTACAGGTGACAAGATTTCCATAGAGTCAGAAAGCTAATTGCCTACAATGCCACTTATGGTGAGAAGCCTTAGACTAGGGCAATAGCTACCTGTCAAAAATGAACTCAGTATTGAAAAAAAGGCCAGATAATATAAGTGATTACCTGAATGTAAGTTAGATACCCTTGTGAGAAACACTAAATCTTCTGGCCAACAATGTACCACTGGAAGTTCACTCCTAAATAATGCTGTCTGCCTTCCAAAGGCCCTGACAACCAAATCAGCAAAGCTATTTAAAATGCAGCCTCCACACACGGTGGTTCTGTGTGTTGAAAGGGAGACAAACCAAATAAAGCTCTTGAAATAATTTTTTAAAAATTAATTTACACCCATGTTCATTATAGCAGAATTCACAATAGCCAAAAGATAGAAACAACACAAATATACATCAACAGATAAATGGATAAATAAAATGTGGAATGTACATAAATAGAATATTATTCAGCCTTAAAAAGGAAGGAAATTCCAATATATACTGCAACATGGATGAAACTTGAAGACATTATGCTAAGTGAAAGAAGTCAGTCGCAAAAGAAAACTATTGCATGATTCCACTTATATGAGGAAAACAGAGTGGTCTAATTCATAGAGACACAAAGTAGAATGGTGGTTGCCAAGGGCTGTGAGGAGAGGGGAATGAGGAGTTACTGTTTTTTTATTTGTTTGTTTGTTTTTTAAAGATGACCGGTAAGGGGATCTCAACCCTTGGCTTGGTGTTGTCAGAACCACGCCCAGCCAGTGAGCGAACCGATCCGTGGCCTTGGTGTTATCAGCACCGCACTCTCCCGAGTGAGCCACCGGCTGGCCCAGGAGTTACTATTTAATGGGTACAGAGTTTAAATTTGGAAAGATGAAAAAGTTCTGGAGATGGATGGTGGTGATGGTTGCAGAACAATGAGAATATATTTAATGCCACAGGACTGTACACTTAAAAATGGATAAGATGTTAAATTTTATGTTAGTATATTTACCACAATAAAAAATTAATTGACCATATATATATGGCTCTATTTTCTTCTGTTGATTTGTACTCCTACCTTACATTAATACTGCAGTATCTTTATTACTATGACTTTCATAAAGTAGTCTATTGCATGTATTCTAACTTTGCACTTCCTTTTCAAAATTCTTTTGGTTATTGGAGGTTCTAAGTATAAGAAAATACTCTTGTCATTTTAGAATCATCTTGTCAGTTTCTACAAAAAAGCCTTGCTGGAATATTGGTTGAGATTGCATTGAATCTAAAGATCAATTCAGGAAGAATAACGTCTTAACAATAATGAGTTTTCTGATCCATGAATGTGGTATATCTTTATTTAAGTCGCTAATTTCTCTCAGCAAAGCATTGTAGTTTTCAGTGTCTAGATCTTTTAATTTTTTTTTTTTTTCCTTTTTGTCTTTTTTCGTGTCCGGCAACGGATCGCAACCC